CCCCAAAACCCCAAAACCCCCTACATGATTAATTTAACAGTATTTTGAATTATTATTTAAAAATAGAAATATCATACTTTAAGTTTATCAATTGAAGATTTAGATTAAAAAAATAACAATTAAAGTTTATTCATTCGGGTATTATAGGATTATTAAAATATACAATAAATGAGAAAACTAGCCATTATACGAAAGTAAATTGATGAATAAGTGGAGGATATCCATTAGCGAAGGTTAGCAGAAGATCCTGAAATAATGTTTGCTCACATCGCATCATTTGACAAAATAGAGTAACAGAGGGCTCATCTCAAACATCTTTAAGAAACGAGAAAGCAGATAAACATGTTTAAGGGGCCATTTTAAAAAGTTATCAAAAATATGCTAATTACAAAACCTTTAAAACAGTAGAGGGCCAAGAGAAATAACTCACTTCTGCAAAATCTATTAGAAAAACCTAGTACTAGTCAATCTAATGCAATATAAGAGACTAAGAAGTAAGTAAGATAATAAGCATTTCATTTTATTTTTAGATAGTTTGAAGATCTTAGTATGCCTGTCAAAGCTGTAATACCTTAAATCACTACAGTTAAGATTGCGGATGATTTGAAATTGAGAATACCTTAAAACTTTGACTTACTCTATCAGAATGCTGGATAAAATGGAAAGGGTCCATCCAAGATAATGATGGAGTAAGAGGAATATGAGAAGATGTCTTTTATTGAGAAGAAACTGGGTACTGGAAATAGCTACAAGCAAGAAGCTCTTTTGATGCTAGTGAACCATATTGGTTGAGAACATTAGGAATAAGTAGCTAAGGAAAAAGAAATGAAAATCTATTAACAAAAGAGAAGGTTAGAGAGAATGAAAAAATTAGAAAGGTAATCCACTCTGGTAGATAATGCTATAAATCAAATCCAGTAATTTCAGAGAAGGTAATCCAAGCTTAATATAAGAGAGGCAAGTGTAAATATCATAATGCCTGATAAAGATTTTTCAATATTTAATGCGGGGATCACTTAACAATTCAGGAATTCAAGATTTTCTGTAGACAATCATTCTAAATAACTTAACAAAAGTGAATAAAATTCTCCAATAAATATAAGAATACCTTTTTATCAGAATGTACCTAAGTGATCATAATTTACAGCCAAAAAATTGTAATCAGGGAGATAGAATGACAAAATTCATCTAGGTGATTTCTCAAATGTTGTAAAATCACATAAAGCACCTAGGTATTCTTAAAAATAAGCTTTTAAAGTGACATAAAGAAACGCATTACGAAATTTCTGTAAGTCATCAGAAGATTTACAAGAGCAATTTCAAAACATTATTGTCGATAGCAAATTTTAACAAAATCAAACTAAGATGTCCTTTTACAACAGCTAATTTGGTATGTCACCTAAATCAGCTGTATCGAGTCCTCACTAAAGTCCGGAGTAAATTTTACATCTTAATTATTCTATACTTTTAGTTTCGTAGGAGCTTTAATGGTCAAGAAGGACAATGGTAGTTACAATATCCCTGATGAAAAATAGTTTCAGAAGCTTACTCATTTGATTGACACATTTTACAATTATTAGGATGCTTAAGAAATCCTAAATTAAAATCTTCCTTAAAAACCATCAACATGTCTACCTCTAGGTCAAGGATAAAATAATCGAGGTCTAGAACTAATTAGAAAAACTTAGGTACTAACTGCTGAAAATTCTCCAAACCCAGGAACTCGAAAGAGTTAAGCACATAAATTAACTGGAGAAGATGCAGTGAAAGAGTATGAGAATTTTAATAATCATAAATCAAATATGAATAAAGACTTAGATATAGATCCCGGCTCATAAGGAAATTATCTTACTAGCAAGTAAAAAGATAAATAATAAATGAAAATGCTTAACAAATATTTAAACTTCTCTCTAATGAAACTGAATGATGAATTTGTGCAAAGGAAGTTCAAAACCTATTTAAAGGCCTAGAGTGAGTAATAGGGGTCAAGAGACTCAGTTTACGATAGACTTTAAAAGAACGCTAATGAAAATGTTTAAAAAAAGTTATTGCAGCTCTCTTAAGTTATTAATGAACCTAGCAACAGATCCAGTGCGCTAGCATTTAATCATGCTGAGTAACTCAAGCAAAAATTGAAATTTAAAATTCAAACAAATCTCAATACTAATGAAAATCAACTTAATGTCCCAAGAGCCTCAAGAATAAGCTAAATCTTATTAAAATCATCTGGTCGGCTAAATACAAGTCATTTTAATGATGATCCAAAATATCAAGAGTTAGTTAAACTCTCTGAGACTTCAAGCGATGAAGAAAGTTAATAACTAAATTAAAACGAAGGATTCGATCCACTTCATAATAAATCATCATTGACATTTTCTAACCATTAGTATCGATCATTTATGAGTAACATGGAGAAATTGAGCTCACAAAAAAAGTCCCCCAATTTAAGAAATTCAATTTTAATTTCTAATAGATTAAATGAAACGTCTGGTGATGAAAAATCTATTAAATCAAATAGTGGACGCAAGTGCTCATTCAGAAGGTCTTAAATTGTTTAAAATACTCAAATTTTTATCAATTAGCCAACTGGAAAATTTAAAGAATATGAAGAGAAGTCTCCAAATAATTCAAAAAATAGCAGAAGAAGTGGATTTGGATAAAGAAAACATGTCAGAATATATGACCCGTAGATGGAAATTGATAAAAGATTAGATGTAATTGAGCGTTAAGTCATTACATCTTAACATGCGAAAAGATCTTAGCAATTTTTTTCCTAACAAAATAGTCCTTCTAATAGAGTTAACATTAACTTTAAAAATCAAGATAATCATTATTTTTGAGCAATTCTAGATATACTATAGTTTTCTATAGATTTTGTTAATTTCTTAAGATACTTATGTTATCAATTTCAATTATGGGGTTTTGGGGTTTTGGGGTTTTGGGGTTTTGGGGTTTTGGGG